GGGTTTTTTTCGCGCTCAAGGGACTGAGACTTCTGTTTGGAGGCTTGTCGGCCTTTGCTCGAAAGTAAGTCGTGGGTTGTCTCTGTAGTTGCCAAAGACAGAGCCCAACATGTCTTGAAACCCCCAGCGATCACTGAAGCGGCCTACATAAGCTTCCTTAGGAAGCTGTTGCCTGGCCTCCTGCGCGGCTCGCGCGGCGCACACGTTGTGCGGAAAACAGTGAGAGAAGCCCCGGAGTTGTTGCGCACACAGAAGGGTAGCATCATCACCCTAAACCCTAAACCCTAGACCCTAAACCCTACACCCCAAAACCCTTAACCCCAAAAACCCTAAACCCTCAACCCTCAATCCTAAACAGCATTTTCACGGTAGGGGCCCCCCTCACCCTTTTTGTGTCCTCAGCGTCTCTAATTTACCCTAAACCCTAAACCCTAATCCCGATTAAGGACTGTTCGTATAAGGGGTCTAATGCCAGCAAGCTGCACGAAAGCGATGGCAGGAAAACTCTCTCCTGAAGCAGCCGAGAATGCGACAGAGAGGTGTGGGGGGGGGTTTGGGGTTTAGGGCTGAGGGTTTAGGATTTAGGGTTTCGGGCTTCGGGAAAGGGAAAGAGGGAGTTCCCACAAGGGTTTGGGGTTTAGGGTTTGGGGTTTTCGGTTTTTGGGTTCCTTGATGGGCGTCCTTCTCTTCGCGCTTGGCCTGGAGACAGCAGGCCCTGCCGGCCTTTGAAGGGGGAACACACATCACGTCGGAAAAAGAGTTACCAAGCTCATCCCCCCTTCTGACCCCCCGTAAACGGACCAATAAATCAAGACTCACATTTGCATGAATGCATGGACATCGGTACAAATATGATTTTACCCTCAACTCCAACCCTAGACTACTTCTATATTTATATATACATATAAATATAAATTTAAATATCAATAAACATAAATACATAAATACATAAATATATGAATAGAACATAAATATATGAATAGAAAATAAATAAAAATATATACATATATATATATATATATATAGATAAATGCTGTTGACTGCCCTAAACCTCAAACACCTTCCCTGAACGCTAGCCGGGGGGGGGGGGTGTCCCACCTTTGAAGCGAAGCGATGCCGCAGGGATCGAAATGCAGAAGCACCTCGTCGTTGGGCACAAGAGGCGCATGGGAAGGCAGTAGACAGTTGCACAAACGAACGAGAGACACAGAGAGAGAGAGAGAGTGAGTGAGAGAGACACGGAGGGAGGGAGCTATCGCTGGTCTTTGCCTTGGGCACTTGGAGTGATGCCTGTCACTTGCGAGAACGCTTTCCCGTAAATTGCGGTCAAACGATCGAACCGGGAACCTTTTCGAAGCAACGGAATGCAGCTACAGACTCTACCGCCACGCAGGCAACGCAAACCGCATCCCGCACCCGGCCGGCAAACGAACTGAAAATTGCCAGGCCCTAAGGCTTTCTTGAAGCAACACTTGGGCCAAACTTGGTGGGCCGAATAACAACAGCCATGTTCATAATCAGACTTGAAAGAATACCCGACTATGTTTTTTCAGAGGGGTGTCCAGCCGGCGCCTCTTGACCTCGCTGCTGTTGATTGCAGATAGGACCTGTGCTGCGCTCTCAGCCAGCCCTTAGCTCGGAAAGGCCCTTAAACCCCTCTGAACAAAATACTCCTCAACATGATTGATCCTCTTAAACCCAATCAAGGAACATGCAAAATCTCCCAAAACCCTACCTAGGACCTGATAGTACGAGGACTCAGAAATATTGAAAGCATCTCTCACACGGAGGCCTCTGGCAAAGCCTCATGGGCCCCCAAAAGCCTCAGAGACTTCCTGAGGATTGACTCATACACCCACACCAGCAACGAAAGACTTCAGAAGGTTCAGGGTTTAGAATTTAGGGTCAAGGGTTTAGGTTCAGGGTTTGGGGTTTAGGGGTTCAGTTGGGGTTTTTTTGCGGAGTTTCCCTACTGAGTTTCCATGCATCCGCCCGTAAACCGCTCCGTGTCGGAAACAGCCCTAAACCCTAAACCCTAAGCCCTAAACCCTAAACCCTAAACCCTCAGGCCTTCTCCTCTGGATCGATGGAGATGTCTGGAAGGTCCTTCCCAGGGCCCGGCAGTTGGGTCGCTGCTGAAGAACTGAAAACTGCCACAGTCAAGACACCACATATGACTTACTACCACATACACAATAGAACACACACACAGAGATATCTGTACACGTATATACATACATATATATATATATGTTCACAAAACATATGTATAAACATATATGCCGGCTATGGTCCTGAATTTGTGTTCCTTCAGAGGAAGTCCAAGACCTTGAGCCCTCAAAGCCAAGAACTCAGGGCTCCCTCCCACTCGCCATGCCGTACTTCCTGGCTTTTTAGGGTGGGGAATTTGGGAGCATGGTGCCTCAGGTGGGGGGGGGAGGGTTGGGGGGTGGGTCACCACAGCCTGTGCCCCACAGGCCCCATAGGCTGCGTCCAGGCCCTGCCCGGCTTTGGGGGTTTGGGGCTTTGGGGCTTAGGGTTTAGGGTTTAGGGTTTGGGGTTTCGGGTTTCGGGTTTGGGGTTTAGGGTTTCGGGTTTCGGGTTTCGGGTTTGGGGTTTAGGGTTTCGGGTTTAGGACTCAGGGGGGTTCAGGGGGGTTGGGGGCTCTCCGGGGCCTTCCAACCGATGTTGGGTTTGGGGGGGGGGGGGGGTTTAAGGGGTGGGTAGGGGGGGTTTGAGGTTTCAGGGCGTTAGGGTCTAGTTTCTCGTGTAGGGTTTTTACTTCGGGTTCCGGGACATACGCCTCCAAATGTGGGAGAGGATGATCTGTGACTCTTACAGATGCGCAAGAAGATGTGGAGTGTCAAAAGTTCAGCTTAACAGGCCGGAACATGATGTAGAAGGGAACTCTTGAACCTAATTGTGAAAGGCTACCCTAGCCCCTTAAACCCTAAACCCTAAACCCCAAACCCTAAACCCTAAACCCTAAACCCTAAATCCTGAATCCTGAATCGTGAATCCTGAATCCTGAATCCTGAATCCTGAATCCTAGCAAAGACAAACGGAAATACAGCTACCACCTGGCAGAGTTGGGGACCTGAACTGGGGAGTTTCGATTCTGGCCGGAGTGCATCTGAAATAGCTGGAAGAAGAACCCCAAATAAAACCCCAAAGCCCTAAATTTAGGATCAAGGGGCCGGGAGGGGGGGGGTGGGTGGGTAGGGAGAAGTTCAGGATTCCACCCGGGTTTGCACGGCCTGAAATTTCCTGCAGCTTTTTTCATGCTGTGACGAGCAGGCGGCTCTTTCTTTGAGGCCCATTTCCTGGCAGTGACACCTTGCAACACCTCTCATCCCAAGCCTTGAGCTGTGAAACCAAGTCTCTGTGTTTCTCTGAAACCGCTGGTGCTGCAAAACCCCCATATACTCCAGAACCATCTGTGCATGAACTTGGCGGGCGAAAGGTGAACTCAATTTTGCGCGAGCCGGTTTTTGAGGATTGCCCTAAACCCTAAACCCCAAACCCCAAACCCTAAACCCTAAACCCTGAAAAACGGCTCCTGGCGGCCTAGCTGCGGATGACTCTCTTTGTACAGCAACCGCGGCTCACGGCCAAGCAACGCGTTTCAGGCTCCCAGGATACAAAGCGCTGCCCTACACCCCGGGGGGACGTCCTCCGACCTTTCCGGGACTTCTGGAGCTTAGTTGTGTTGCTTTGAGTGTCGGGGTTTAAAATCCTCAAAGCTGGAGCCTTGCCCTGATGCCCTCAGCAACAAAATCCCCCGCCTTGGGTTTTTTTCTGTCATATCAGCTGAAGTTTCTGTCTACCCCACGTGCTCTACGCCGTGAGTTGCGGATGTCCGCCCGCAAGGCGCGCTCGAGACTACGGCAAGGATTCCAGGATCCGATGCTGAAACGAGGCCCTGCTGCCGCTGGGTAGAACTTTTCACCCAAAGCTCCGCCTTTCGGCTGCCTTCAGAGGCACTAAGAGGCACTAAGGAGCACTAAGGAGCACTAAGGGGCACGAAGAGGCACTCAGAGGCCCCTCAAAGTCCGGCTTCAGCACTAGGCAGCAGAGCTGTCCAAGAGCTCCTCCTCAGGGCCTGCTGGAAGCTCTCCTGCTCCTGGCTCCGGGAAAACAAAATTGGGGCACCCTTAGAACAGCCAACAAAAAAACCTTTCACCGTTTGTTGATCCTCCCTGTTCTGCGCAAGGCTCTGTTAGAGGGTCCTTGAGGGAGTGGGGGGTTCATGGGGTTCAATGGGGGGGGTAGGTACCTAGGGAAGGTTAGGGAAGCTTAGGGAGCCTCGCAAACCTTGAGTTGCATAAACCACCCCCTTGATTCCCCCGGCCTTCAGGCTAACTAAAGGTAGGGTTTAGGGTTTATCGTTTAGGGTTTATCGTTTCGGGTTTAGGGTTTAGGGTTTAGGGTTCAGCATCTCAAGTTCAAGCATTCACTAGTCAAGCTCGCTACCCTAGTATCGGAAGAACACCAGGAAAATCTCTTAGTTTTCAACTTCAAGCCCTAAAACGATGACCTTGCGCCCAATAAACATATGACCTTGTGCCCAGAAAAATATGACCCTCGGGGTCAAAAATCAGAATTTTTACTGGGCACCAGGTCGTTTTGGACCGAACGACTAAAATATGACCTTGTGCCCTGTAAACATATGACCTTGTGCCCAATAAACATAGGACCTTCGGGGTCAGAGGTCACAAGGTCGTTTTTGGACCAAACGACCTTGTGCCCAATAAACAGATGACCTGTGCCCGATAACTCCCCAAGCAAGAGAGGTTTAGGGTTTAGGGAGAGTTAGAGACCTCAATTTCCTTTTTTCGAAGAGGGGGAGACCCGGCTTTCCCCCCGACTCTCCTTCAAAAAGAACCAGGGAGGACCGACTACCCCCTGAGTCCTCCAGGGCCTGGGGTCCGAAAAACTGGGTTTAGGGTTAAGGGTTAAGGGTTTAGGGTTCAGGGTTTCAGGGTTTAGGGATAACACAG